TTTATGAGGGGCGGTGGGGGGCCATGGAGGGGTTGGCTAAAGAAACCTTAAAGTTTTGCGGTCTCAACCCCCAAAATTCCCCCACCCAGCATGGGGGCTGGGGAATTCTGGGAGTTGAAGTCCATACATCTTCAAGTTGCCAAGGTTCAGAAACATTGCTCTAAGGAATCAATTCAGTGTTAATATTCTGTTTTGGGGAATAAGAGACAAATGAAGATGATTGGCAATAATTGTTAGATCAGCCTTACACCATTATTGCATGCTGGGATTTTGCTAAGGGAAAGAGAAATTGTATACAAGAATCTTATTTAGTGCAGATGTACAGAATAATCCAATCCTTTGCACAAATATGCTTTGTCTAAAAATGAAGCAGTTTTATTAATCTTCCAGCCCGATTCAGAACTTAGTTATTCAGAGAAGCCTTCTGCTCCAGTGATTTGCATGCAGTTTAGTTGCCTCTTGAAGTCTTAATATGTTTTGTTTTCCTTCAGAGATAATTTGACATATGAAGAGCAGGATCCTGCCTTTCCTTATTTTTGCCTGGGGAAGGACATGATGGTATCCAATGATAGGTGAACTAAAACTCTGGATTTCTATAATCCATAGATGGGTAAAATCTTTCCATTAGGATCAACTCAATTTTTTAAAAAAATATATTTCTCCAGAAAAAGATATCAGGCAAGATATCACAAAACAAGACGTGGAAGAATCAAGAGAGCCTTCAAATTAGACGAAATGTTTCAACCTTTGGTTCTACAGTCTTTGGATATATCGTCCCTGTCCACTACATGTAAAGTAATTGTCTCTTTCAAGCCGCAGAGTAGAGGAGGGATCACCGGGTGTCCTATTTTCCATCTCTAGTCTGCTGCTGTTATATACATATAAGGATTAAAGCTGGAACAACCAAAGGCCCCTTGGTTGGGAAGGTTCTGTGTCTTTTGATAAAGACATATATTCAATTGCTGATATTAAGTCTTCTGCACTTGTTATGTCTTGCCTATTGTTCATTTCTGACTCTCCCTGCTTTTGCTTACATTTTGCCCGATTTTGCCAGTTAACTATTTCTGATGTCTGCTAATCTTTAATGAATAAACATCAAGCTATTTTTTTTTACTAACTGAAAAAATAAATCAAATAATTTAATTACAGCCATAAGGCTAGAAAACAGCAATATAAAATCTAAACATGTGAACATAAATATACATATATGTCAACTTACAAGTATTAAGTATAAATATAAGATATATAACAAGGAATAAGA